AGGCGATTATCAATCTCATAAGTAATAAGAAGCTAGCTCGTAAGGAACTCTAACTACCATATCTTGGGAAAGTCTCTACCGTATCTTGCCGCATCCTTCTGCCTTGCCGTCCTATGAGCCATCTGACCACCAGATTTCCTATCCTGCAAGCCTGGTAAGGGGGTGAGTATTGAATACTCAGTAAGACGGTCTTCTCTGTCTCACAACCTAATACAATCTAACTACCCTTGAAAACTATTATCCCCACATGATGCTTTAGCACCATGTGCCACAACACTCGGTAATAACTAGGCAAGTCCACCGCTTGCTAGTTCTCATCACACACACACTCGTAACTAGGCAAGCCCACTACTTGCTAGCTTTCACCACACACACACTCGTAACTAGGCAAGCCCACCAGCTACCTCCTAGTTACCAACTCTAAGTAGTATGAAGGTGTCCMAACAGACACATCCATAGTACCACCGCACTAGTAGTTAGCCCGTCGGTAAACTTTCACCACTCTGACCCTTCTTAGGCCCTTCCGGCCAGTCCCTTATGTCTGCCAGGTCTTCGTACCACTTTTTCAGTCCAAACACAAACAAATCGGCGACGATTGTCCATATAACCACCCCTATGTAATAATAAAAGGTGGCATTGTGAACCTACTATCCTACCAATTTGTATGCATTACTACACTAGACTCTCCTAAAGTTCAAAATCAATTCTCTACTCCATTTTAGCCTTATCCACTCTTCTACGTTCTCAAGCAATAACCAAAGCATTTCAAACAATACATTTGTCCCGTATGGTCGGTCCCAAGTAAGCATGGCTATCCCATTATGTTACCCATTACATATCTATGGCCATACGACAGCCGTCCCTATAGAAGTACACACATAAGATTATCCGTTAATTGTGGATAGCTCATAACACCAACTTGTACCGTGAACAGTCTAAGTGATACCATGTCTATCCTCTATCCCCTTGGTTGTAAGCCATCTAACTTGAGCTCGCCAAACCTCTCTGACTCTTCTCTTGCTAGACCTTACTTACATCCATGTGTCAGGTTAGTTAAGGTAGCAATAGTATAACCATTTGGTCATCCTAATAGCTTTCTACCTGGTTCACAACAATCTCTAATAGACTGCCAGATCCTACAAACAAGCGAACCATCGAGTAGAACTTACTTCCATGGAGCGGTAGCTCTACCATAACTCTATTTATAATGTTTAATGGTCAGTTAGTCTTTCTACCTTTTAGCTTCCTGGACTAATTTCTCATTTGGCCTAAGGTAGCTCCCTGGGAAATGGTATAGTTTTGCCAATGCAAGGCTCAATTCCTAAACAACCTAACAGTATGAAATATGAATCGGGGCATAAACTCTCTATGGAGCTCTTTCTTGTAATCACCAAACAACGAGTCACCCTTGGCTTTGGTCGGAACAATGCCAAGCTTCCTCGAGACTAAGGTCGAATCCCACGCCCGGAATACCTTTAGCGCGTGTATCCTAACCAATAGCCCAACATGAATAGATCTACATAACTTGTCGAGATCCCAGACCTTATCAAGCTACATGCCTGACTCCACCTACGAGTCCGTAGTCAGACCCTCTGCGGTCCGACCGGATGCTCTGCCACCGCACCGTTTGGTCAAGCCCTCACTTGCCATTCCGGTCTTGTGTAATGCGGACCCAGGACGCCTTGGTCTTTCTCTACCAAGGTCCTGCGAATCCATGGTACAGTTTATGTCGGGTATGTATCGAGTCTCTGCCAATACGCCCTTGCTGCCCATCTCCAGACTTTGCCGTCGTACCATCTCGATACCCTATCGAGTTGCGCCACGTTTGCTACTAACACCAACACTGCACCGCAACGCTGTTGAGGTATCACCGAACCATATCGAGCCCTCTTGAGACGCGGCACGCTGTCTATCAATCTGCGGCATGATACCATGCTTATGCGGCACGATCTCTTATCGTGGTGCGGCACAGTATCTTTGTATGGTTCAACTTGCTGCCTTATTGTAGCGTAGCACGTTCCACTCTGCGACACGCTACCTCGTGTTAGTGCTCTGTCAAAGTGTCATCGAGGCACCCCGAGGCCATGCCGATGCCCTATTTAGGCGTCACTATAGTCTGGATTGAGACACTCATCGAGATACCCCGAGGCCATACCGATGTTCTCTTTCCAGTAGGCATATGCTACCGTTACTGGATTGGGTGCCCACTGATACGTGACCCGAACCCTCATCGAACCCGTATTGCAGCCCCTCGCCATCCACGAGACCCTTCTCGCGCTCGAACGTAGTCGATTGGAACTTCGCCACTGACTTATACTCGTCGAGCCTCCCATCTGGATCCCTTATCCGGATCGAGTTACCTCGACCACTACCCTAGCCTATGACCCCATACTACTAAAATACCCTATGAAAGCAATGATAATAAAGGACAAGAAAGGAGGATTAGGTACGGATCGCGTCTTACCTTAACCGTGAATCTTCTCTACCGCGGGGCTGGGGTGCTGACTTCCTTCTCAAGCTCCTCTGATTCTTCCTTCCTAAGCGTTTACCTTTGGCTGTGGAAAAAAAGAATGATTTTGGTGTGTAAAATTTGAGCGCCCTAGCTATCTATTGATACCCCACGAAAATCTCCCTAGAGAATATTCATTTTCCTTATTTTTCTCCACCTCCTTACTACATGGGCCAAGCCCGTCTAGCCACCACGTTTTTCTTTTCTTTCCAAGGAATTCACTAGGGTTTCCTTCCCCTCGTCACTAGAAGTTCCAGGTCCAACCATATGGTGAAACAAGGCCCGTTAGGCCATTACCTAGTCTGACAGGATTTCTGGCGCAATTAAACTGGCTTTACTCTTAAGTTTCCTACCGAATCTTCTACCGCAGGTTCGGGGTGTTACACTTGGTTTGCTGTCTCAGAATAATGTTTAGAAATGTTGTTTCTGCTTTTCTTTCACACCTTAAAACAAAAAAGCATCTGATGTACAAAAGTATTTTTCTTTGAATTAATTTAACATATAATTCAAAAAAAAAAAAGTTAGATTTTCTGATCATATTCGAAGAAAAACCTTTCGAAAAATAACATATTCTATAAAACAAGCTTTCCAATATATATGTCTCTATCTCTCCACTAATGGTTCAAAGTAATCCAAGATTAAAATATCGATCTTTTCTTGTTTTTGATGTTCACTTGGTTTTCTTCTGAGGGACATTAAAGTGCAGTTTGGGAGTGTTTGTTAGGATTATGATTCAGATTTCCAATTAAGAGGAAAAGAACAAGGTAAGAAATCGCAGAAGGTAATAATTTTTTTTATGAACTGATTATCCAATACACGAACATTAATAGTTGATGACTGGTGAATCATAAGCCATCATTCTCAAACCTCAAGTAGTTTTTTATATTCCATCAAGTCATGGCTTGCTGTGTGAACTATATCCCCAAGTTAATTGCTATCACTAATTGTATTATGACATCCAAGTATGCAACGGAAAAACGGAAAACCTGAACAAGCTGCTGATGATGTTTACAGCCAAATTATCTTGTCACTGCTGATGATATTGATTTATGTCTTGCTCTTGAAGTTCAATCATTGAATCACCCGAACCGCAATGTTAAGATCTTTGTATATGAATGAGATTTAAAATCTATGTGAGTGGATGGGATTTTATTTTTGAGTAACTCTTTTCTGAGGATAGCGAGGATTAGGATTATGGATTTGTTGGAAACTTGATGTGAACTGTAGTTTCCATTATTTCCTCTGCATTTTGTTTTGAGGGATAGATTTCATGCTAAAATCTTGTACGCGAAAGATTCACCGTTTGGTTAAATACAATATACAATAAGAAAGTTGTATTAGATGGGCTTACAATATTGTTGCCGGGTAACTTATTTGTAGTTTTTCACGTGGTTTGCAGTATTCATTTGCTTCACTTTCTTTCTGATTTCAAGGGGAGCTTGTGAAGGTCTTTGCCAATAAAGATCGGAAGATTGCATCCCGTAAGTCTATCTATTTAACACAGTGGTTCCGTTTAATCTGAAGCATTCTTAGAGAACTCAATAACATTTCTTGTCATACCTAGGTAGCAATGATCCTCTTTTATTTTCACAGATCCAATGATACAGAGCGATACAGAGAACCACTGTGTCATACCTAGGTACCAATGATCCTCTTTTATTTTCACAAATCCAATGATACAGAGCGATACAGAGAAAACTCTTCATAGTGGTCATGCTTCATGCAAGGTTTCCGTTGCGGTATAACATATTTCCATTTCAATTCCTATGTTTTGGCTATCTATTCTCTGGCTTTTCTTGGATTAATCCTTCACATGCATATGGCTTTGAACAGACTAGTTTCCTGGATATATGGGAAGAAGCTACGGTGTCTATTGAGAGAGAAGGTTGCAACATCAAGTGTAATAACGATCTCATAGTTGCAGGAAAGTTCACAGCTTCAACTGATGTAAAACTTATGCCTTAAAACCTTCTATCCTTTTGTTCTCATAAAATAAATTGTCCCAGTCTGTGAAATGTGTGGATGTGTGTGTAGAGAGGATTGTTCAGCTTTGCACGTTGAAATAGTTGCTAGGCGAGTTATGAACTTATGATGCATGCGTATTTTATTTCAATGTTAAGTGCGACAAGAATGCTTCTGAAAGCAATAAGGCTTGTCCCATTTTATAAGTTGAATTTAGTAGAGTCGCTGAATCAATATTTTGTTATTTCCTGCACAACTTTGCTTCTTAGATGCATGTTCATTAAGCATATTGTAATTTACTAATTAAACTTATTATCAACAAGAGCACGTAGCAAAACCATATTTTGTTTCAGTTGATTTTTCAGTCTGTTGTTACTAAATGTTTAATGTAGTTATGTTAATGACCTTTTCTTTGCATGATTTATTATGAATAGGGAAAGCAAAGATTTTTGAACTAAACTTAAAATCCTTCTTTTGATACCTCTCTAGGTAACAATTCCGTTTGGACAACCTGCATAATTTGCTATAATTGGTTCTGATGGTACTGATCATTTTTCTTACGAGCAGGTAATGAATAAACAGACCTTGGCTTGTAAGAAAACGTTAAAACTCTTGAGCAAAAAGGAAATATATTAACAGAAAACCTGCGCATATACGCGGTACTTATATAGTAAAATGTAATTTTTGATGATCTTCGTATGTAAATAGATACCATACAACACACCGTAATTATTCTTTTTCAACTTGGTTCTTCAAAATTGAATAGAGAAATATTATGAGAGAGTAACAAAGATATGCCGTAATTTTGTATATATTATTTAATAATCGGTAAGAAAATAATACATTTGATTATATTTACCTTTTTCTTTTGATAGCCTTTTGACCACACTAAACATTCTAGAAATCAGGACCGTGTAAGAGGGATGGCAAGTGGTTCAATTGCACCGGGCCCACGTAATTTTTTTTTAAATTTTTAAAGAAGAAAGAATCCAAATTAATTTTTTTTTTAATTTCTTTTGAAAAGGTTTCAAAAAAATTTCTTTTACCTAGGACTTTATAAAAGATTGAGACGGCCCTGCTAGAAATATATGATATATACAGATAAATTTGTCAATAAAAATGATATACAAAGAAGTGTTAAGATAAGTGGTTGATGAAAAATTCGATTTTTGAGATGATGAATGGGGAGATACCGGAGAATAAGATCAATGAAAGAGTGAGTGAGTTATGGAGAGACRGGYTCGGGTGGGAGTGGAATAAAATAGTGTCGTGGGTCTCCGATTCCGTCAAGATGAGGCTTGGTG